GTCGCTTGTAGCTGCTTCTTTTTTTACTCGTTATTTCCTTGGCTCCTTTGGACAGTTAACAGAGAATGTTATCCAGGACCATTCTATAAGAAATTTTTAAATGGGTGAATGCTAAAAATAACTATAGGAATATATGCTACTAGCAAAATTCTTCTAGTTGGTCTGCATATAATTTAAATTAAATATGTTCCTCATTTTCGGGGTTGGCCTGAATTGACTAACAACCTACTGACTTACCATTAAGCATCTTCTATCTCAACAATCCTCATGTTTTTTGGCCAGGGACCGTGAGATTTAATCTTGATCCATTCAATGAGCACAATGATGCTGACCTCTGGGAGTCTCTAGAACGTGCGCACCTAAAGGACGTTATCAGGAGGAACTCTTTGGGTCTCGATGCCGAGGTTTGTTCTTGTTTCTTTACTTATTTATAAGTTTGCTACAATTGATAGTTTGCATTCTATGCAGAAAACTCATTTAGTTCAACCAGTTTTCTTTCTCGACATCATTACTAAGTAGATTTTTTAAATGAGAAGATATTATTTTATTCATATGAGAAGAAAGAGTACAGTAGGTGAACTACATCATTTCATTTAAAGGAAGTATTATAATAGGAATAGGAATAAGAATAGTATATACAATCCTATTTAGAATAGGAATAAGAATAGTATATGGAATCCTACTTGGTTGGAAAAGGATTGTAATGTAGTGTCTATAGATAGGATCTCAATGTAATAAGGTAGATACATAATTCAATTATATTCTTTTCCAATATTTCTCACATGGTATCAGAACTTTTGCGATCTTGGTAGAGAATCAAAGAGCTTTCGCTGCTAGCGAGTGGTTGTGACCCATATATGCCGCCCGTCTGGTTAATGGTTATGTTAATAAAAGTAGGACCAATGATATACACATGAACCCATCATACTGTAAATCTCTCTTACCCACAAAGGTAGGGGTAAAGTATGCGTACATTTTACCGTCTCGTGACCCCACTTGTGGGATTACACTGGGTATGTTGTTGTGGGATCTTTTGCCCATTAGAGGTAACGAGAACAATTTAAAACAAATTGCTACCTGTGCATAGATCATGTATAAATGGAAATTCTATTGATAAGATGCTTTCTGCCTAGATTCATGTTTTTTCTATTCTATAATGCAGTTGCTTTACTAGAATCTAATTAGCTACTTGTGGTTTGAAATCACAACTAAAAGCTAGTAAAATATAATTTTAGGATTCATAGACTAGATCAAAGGTACTACTCCCTCCGGTCCAACTTACCTATCACTTTAGTATTTTGAAACGTCTTAAATTGTTTTGACACCATTTTACTAACAATATTACTCACACAACTTTCCTATCTTACTAGAATTCAGATTCATTTAGTTGTTCAAATTTTGAACTTCAATATGATGTTTTCTCTATCAAACTAACTTTTCAACGACTACTTCTATATTTTTTTCCTTTACCACTAGCATAATAGATAAATCAGCATAAAATTTTAAACTTCACGCGCTGTTAAATACCCATTATATAATTTTAAACTTCACGTGCTGTTAAATACCCGTTATATAATTTTAAACTTCATGCGCTGTTAAATACCCATTATATAAAATGAAACAATGGAATATTTGATTTTAAAAATGCGAAACATTGGTACAAAATTCGGCGATGTACGTCTATTTGAACTCTTTTAAGTGAACTTTGTTGAATAAAATGTAATGATATCGGGGCAGTATCATGAATAAAGGACGAAGACTACAATTTAAGAGAACAACTTGTGTCACATGGAAAAGAACAACCGTTCCATTTTATGGTAGAGTCAACTTGCTTTGAATGAATTTCTTGATTTAAACTTAAGAGCCAGATAGAGGATAAGAGAAAGTGTATTATATATGGTGATATTATTGGATGTCACTCGGGCTATTATTTATCAAAGAGGAAAAATGAAAGTTATATTGGTTATGCTATATCCAAATGCACTATGTTACAAAGTTACCAGCCTAAAAAAAAAAAGTGCCCTATATTACAATTTACAAAGCACGTTTCACATAGTTATGTTTTTGCTAGAAAGAAAACCTATGCACCTATTTTTTGTAAAAGTAGCTTTTTGTATAACTAACTAACAGTGACTGTTCGGATTAACTAGATAGCTTAGAGGCTTAAGCCTTTGTATTAGTATATATTAAAAGTGAATATTTTGTTACTTCTATGTTACTGTTTATCAAAAAAATATTTTGTTACTTCTATTCTCTGACTTTTCTATCTCTAGTATCCTTGTCAAACAAATTTCATCTATAGCTAACAGAAAATTACTTTGATGTATCAAGGTCTCAGAAGCCGGAGAAAATTTCAGTGTTGGACAACGACAGCTTTTAAGTCTTGCTAGAGCATTGCTTCGCCGGTCAAAGATTCTTGTTCTTGATGAAGCAACTGCTGCTGTTGATGTTAGAACTGATGCTCTTATTCAGAAAACCATACGTGAAGAATTTAAGTCATGCACCATGCTCATTATTGCTCACCGTTTGAACACTATCATAGACTGTGACAGAATTCTTCTGCTTGATTCTGGTCAGGTAGAGTGCTTGCCTCTAGCCCCCTGGTCATGTGACTCACTGTAATAACAGGTCATGCTGGATTGCACATCTGAGGATCCTCCTGTGGACTCTAAATATACTAAAGAGGAATTGAATTTTTCTTTTTGTTCCTTTTTTTTATGTGGGTTATTTTAATCTACCTGTTGTGTGTCTCGTTTCAGGTACTTGAATATGATACTCCAGAAGTATTGTTAGAAAAGGAGGGAAGTGCTTTTTCTAGGATGGTTCAGAGTACAGGAGCTGCAAATGCTGAATACTTACGAAGCTTAGTCATAGGAGGGGGAGAGGGAAACAGTGTAGCCAAGGATAAACAGCTAGATGGGAAAAGGAGGTGGCTTGCCTCTACACGTTGGAGTGCTGCAGCACAGTATGCAATATCTTTTACACTTTCTTCATCCCAAAATGACCTTGTGAATTCAGAAATGGAGGACGAGGATAATATCCTGAAGAAAACAAAGAATGCTGTAATCACTCTGCAGGGGGTATTAGAGGGTAAGCACGACAAAGAAATCGATGAGACCCTGGATCAGTACCAGGTTTCCAGAGACAGATGGTGGTCTTCATTTTACAGGATGGTTGAAGGTAAAGACTAATGCAAATTAACATAGTCAAAAGCAAAAATATTGCTTTCATAGTCATCTTCTTTGAGAACTGTTACGCCATTATAGACCGTGTTGATGAACAAGGTTTAGACAGACAGGTTGACTGACACATGTGCCCTAGTCTAACAAAGAAATAGCATGTACATAGATAAAATGATCAACTTTACCCACTTTCTTTGCCACCATTTTTTTTTAATTTGGCTTTAGACATCCGATAATTGAAATCTACTGGATTGACTAATCTGGATCCACATCAGTTAGGGCTCACTAGAGGAGGTAGAGTTCTCCCAACCAGGAGTTTCTCTATTTCTAGTGCTCAAACTTTAGACGTTTGGTTAAGAATGTCAGGGTTGAGCCCATCAAGTTAGCCTGGAACCCTAGAACTTTCAATAGAAATAGATTTATATCTGAAACCCTATTAAAATCTCGACAAATGTTAAAATCGAACCCATAATTTTAACAGTACAATTAATTTAGTGCAAGGTTGAACTGATTAAGTTAGCCTGGATCTGCCTCTACTGGCTCTTTAAGGAGGCAGTGCTGTTAGTTAGTATACAGATCCCATGTTGTAATGATTGATCAAATATATACGTTATATTTATGCTTCTTGGGTTTTTACATTCTTCAGGTCTCTCGGTGATGAGCAAGCTGACTCGCAAGAGATTTCAGCCAGAATATCGTCCAGAGGATCCTAACATTGAAGAAAGAACAATTCACTGGGATCGCGCTGAGATGTAGAAGCCTTCCAGTCTCTAGCAGATTATGGAATGGTAGTTCTTGTTTTCATGATTCATGGATAGTTATTTTGCCTTTTTAACACAGTTGTAACATTGATATTTTATCCCATAGAATTTTATAGCTATGCCTCTTCTGAAGATGATGAGGATAAGATTTTGATTGTAAAATTTAAAGGAGATGTGTGATTGTGAATGCAACTATCACAGATCACTAAAATGGCTTAAGAGTGCCTTTTGTTTTAAGAGATTTCTTGGTTCTGTGATGCATTGCTAAAACAATTTATTTTTGGAAACTATTATATCTTTACCATCTTTCTTGAGTTGAGTGTATCGGAAACAATCTTCAGGTAACATCTCCATACACTCTATTACCCTAGAACCACACATTTTGGATTGCGCTAGATATGTTTTTATTGTTTACGTTGTATCATATGTTACTATTTGTGCGAATGACATACAGATCAAGAAATGGTGCAAATCAGTGATGGTTATGTTAATTTCATACCTATGCTTTCCATAGATTGTAATTAATTGCACAATATATTCTTAATTAGAGGAAACAAATTCTTAATTAGAGTTTAATATGTGGGAAATTTGAAAAGGGGGTATTCACTTTTAGTAGGAAATAGAATTTTGCAATTTTTTTTTTAAGAATAAAGTGCGCACCAAAATTATTTTTTAGTTGAACCACTGCAACTGAGACATTTTGTTATGTACATTTGTAATATAAACAAGTCTCAATTATTTAGTATTCACATGTCTTAATACAACATCTCAAATCTCAAACAGAAACTAGATAATGTGTATAATCAAGAATAATATGCTTGGCAGCAAAGCACTTACTTATTACTCCGTCCATTTCAATCTGTTTGTCCTACTTTCCTTTTTAAGTCCGTTTCAAAAAAATTATTTTGTTTAAACCAACAAGGTTAAAGTACATATTTTTTTACACATTCCACGTATCTTTAGTTTTAAACTACAAGATTAAAAAATCTTTTTTGAACTTCTTACGCTCCGTATCAAATCAAAATAGAACAATCAAATTGAAATGGAGAGAGTACTGTGATGATTAAACACCTTATAACTACTTCAACAAAGTTAACCACTTTTTACACAAATTTGATTCTTGCACACATGGATGAATCTAAAAGACTACATGAATCTACATGAATTGCTTATGAAATGGAATTCCTCCTATTTCTTGAAGATGTACAAGATGACTTCATTTCTCCTTGAATAATCCTTAAAGTTGGACTTTGAGAACTACCAGATGTCTCAGAGCTCCGATTTTCGCCATTACCAGACACCTTACCAATGAACAGCTTGTCAAATATTCTCCTTGATCTTGATGGCATCAACTGTGGTCCACTACTTCTGTTCTTGCTTCCTTTCTTTACCAACTTCATGTTCTTCTGTGGATCTTCACCTTTTATCTTTATTTCACTCGATGGCTTCGATACATTTTGCTTCTCTGGTAATGTTTTCTGCCAATATTCCTTTTCAGTCATCCTAGTGAAATCTACAGCATCAGTATTTCTGTGATTTAAGGTCTGAACTCCAGCAGCTGCTCTAATTTGTTCAAAGAACAGGACTTGAACGACTGTCCGGAGAGGCAGACGTTCATTTTGTGCAGCATGCATAGATGCATCCATTGTTAATTTCCTAACATCCATGAGACTACATAAATGTTTTTTCTCAGCTTTTGTCAAGCTTGAGTGTTCCTGCAGTGAAGACGAACAGTTAATATATTTTAAGACCATAAGCTTTTAAAATGGAGCGAAAACAAACCATGAGGAATCATATAGTTGATCTCAATTTGCTTGAGAGGGTGGGGTGTACGCAGCCTACCCCACCTTGTGAAGGTAGAGAGGTTTTCGATAGACGCTCAACATAAGTGAAGCATATAGAATATAATGGAGAAAAGAACAGTAGCAACCACAAATAATACGATAAACGAAGCAAAGAAAACAACATGTAGGGTCATATTCTCAGTAAGAGAAACCAAATGGCGCTCGACTACCTACTAACCTTCTACCCTAATCCTCGACCTCCATATCCTCCTATCTAGGGTCATGTTCTCAGTAATACTTCTTCGGCCTACCTTTACCTCTCCTAAAATCCTACATAGCCAACCTCACACCTCCTCACTAGGGCATCTATGCAGGTCCGATATATGGGATTGAAGCATGGTAACACAAAGAGGTGTTGTTTAGGTTCAATTGAATGGTATATATCTACTAAAGACTTCGACGACCCCATTAAAATTAAGGACTTGCAGAACTTATGATATAAAAGGAAAAAGTAAATAAGGAACCTGCAGATAGATATCGATTGCCTCATATAATGCATCATGGATTGGTCTTGCTGAGTCTGGAATTGATTGCAACAGTTCAATGAAAATAGAGAGACTGACGTTTGGATCACGAGCAATTTCTGCAAGATAACCATCAATTAATTTACCGACTTTCAACCATGATGCATGCCCCAAGATGAAATCATTGGTGCTCTTCGGGGGAATGTTCCTATCCCTACTACTTCTTTCACGAGCCATGAATCGATTCACAAGGCACTTCACTAGTTCAATATCATAAACAGTAGTTTGGGGAGACCTTGCTGGAATCAAAATATCATTGACGGAAGCCTCATCCAGCTTTAAGCTGATACCTTTTACAAGTTCATCCCTTGATGAATCATCTGCTCCCACAAGAATAGCGACTTTCAGTAACTTAAGCAAGAAACTACACGAACAAGTAACACCTTTGTCAGAAGGCAATAAGCAGATTATAGTTTCTAACAACGACTTGTTTCTTATGCTGTGAGCTTCAGATACCAAAGCCTCAATAGAATCAGGCAGCCATCTCATTGCATAAGTTCTTAGTGCCTCGCCAATAACACTACCATCCATTCTTCCTTTGGATTTAACGGCAACCATAACTCGTTTGTAAAGATCTATCTCAAGTTCACATATATCTTCTACCCACCAATCCTTGGGCACGGATTCAAGTTTTCCAGGGAATTTCATCCCAACTTCTGTGATCTTATCTGAGACTGCCACTTTTCTGTTGTACGTGTAGGACCATGTAATACTCGAAGGATCCATTGACGTTTTGGATGCAATAGAATCTATACATCTACCTACCACCTTCAGATCTTCAGACCATGGTTGAAGAGACTTGGTGGTTTGTAGAACAATAATTGAATCTTTCCAGCTGCGGAAAACACTGGAATTGAGGAATACCTCAATTTTGAAGACAAGGTTTCCTCGATCAACTTTTTCCGTCATCTCAAGGTACTCAGCTGCACAACGTGCAGCAACAACATTGTATGGATTGAGGGTCACTGTCATTCCATAGCAAAATTTGGCGCAAATCTCAAAAGCTTTAGGTCCACCAGGAAAATCAACTAACTGAATTACATCAGAATTCTCTTCATTTGCTTTTGAAACAAGCTTTTGCAGCCTGTTGCTCATGGACAACAGAGGAAACTGGAAAACCAAAATCAGTATAAACTGTATATCAGATACTGATAAGACTCAGATGGGAAAGAAGTACATATAGTTCTCCACATGAGAGTAAAAGTAACAGTTAGCAACTAAAGACAAGCAGTTATCCATTTCCATTTTCGTTTATAAATATTTGGAGATAGCGTACATTGCTATGTCGAGAACAACCTTGCAAACAAGTCTATCGGATGTGCGAAGAAAGATTTGGGAAATTTCAGAATTAACTTAGTCTAAAGGCCAGCTCACAAAGAAAGATGAATCTGGATAACATGGAAAATTCATCAAACTAGATTTGTTTTTCTTCTATACAGTAATTTAGTACCCACATACAATCTTTGTTCATTATACCTAGTTCGATCATTGAAAAACATAAGCAATCAAGTTCTGTTTGTTTACTTTTCTAAACTCAAATGAATGTCGCTGAAGAACAACAAGAATAAAGTACTATTCGCTTAGTGAATTGTATCGGAAATTATAACAATTTATCCTTTGCATAAATGGTCAGGTTACCTTGTGAAGATAAAATATTACTTCACCAACAATGATGGTAACATCTGTTGCCAGCTCAGACGACACGTACCTGCATCAATAGATCAAAAATCATTTCCTCTACTTAATAATGTGATTAGAGTATAGCAAGTAACTCAAATATATAACATAATATTTGCATAGACAAGGAAGAACAGAAAATAAAGTGTATGTAATCTCTCAGTGATACTTTTTTTAGCTACTAATAGACTAATAGTGTCCTCTTTTTTGGTTAAAATTTCGCTACTTATTATCTATACGGCAAAACATAAACAACAAAATAAAACTTTCCTGCCAGTAGTTAAGTACACAGGAAGTAAAATAAAATCTTTTTTTGAAGAGAAGAGTGAGAGATCCATGTGATTGACAGCTTTTCCTTCAACTTCTAAGTAATGTACAACTGAAGTTCCTTAAATATAAGTAGATGGTATTATTCTCATTATCATTTGCAAGTACCAGAACAATGTATATAAAATTAACTACACTTCAACCCCAGCATAAGTTAAAATAGAAAATACATTTAGCTTAAACTATAGTTCCACCAATGGTGAGTTGGAGACAAACTTAACAAACTTGAGTTTGTGTTGGACAAAGAGTCGGAAACAAATAGATGAAACCTTCGAGGCGGACAAGAAGCAGAAAAGAGAAACAGAGCTAGCAAAATGGTTGTATGGAAACTAATAGTGCTTCTACTGTTAAACATTTACTTGCGAAACGTAACTATGGAAATCCAAGTTCTAGCTGTGACCATGTTTCCATTCAATTTAACTTCTGTGCACTAACAATGTATAATTTTGTCACGCCACCAGATTAAGGTTGACTTATAGCAACAGGTAACTGTCTATAGTAATTTAGTAACATAAAAGATCAACTGAATAACTTGTTATAATCGGATAAAATGCATTGACAATGTAAAACTCATTTACGCCGTCAGTTAACACATAATAAATCCGTTTCCATTTTGATTCCAGTGTTTCACCTAGTCAGGGGACAAGAATTTCCACCAACATAAACAGTTAAAAAACTGAGAACTTTCACCTACCTAGCTATTCATGATATATGCTAGAAAAATTAACCTACATGGTCGTTCACCCAACTGATTAAACTAAAATAGCTGGCGGATGTATAATATGTGTATAATCTATGTATACGGCTAGAAAAAGTAAACAATAAACCTATCCAACTATTTGTGTAAAGATCCTATGTCCCTTGTTTCACCATTTTTTTAATCAAAAGATAGTTCAGTCATTTATGTCAAATAGTAGGTAGAGTAATTGATGTTACAAGATGTAAACATAATTTAGATGATCAAATAATTGGAGATCAATGACCCCACTAAGGCCATTTTTCTATGAGTAGTAAATAATGGACCACCTACCAATCAAACGCAGAAAGTAGATTGACACCACTTTTTGAATGTCCTCATGCAAGCCACCATCAAAATTCTTTAAAGGTAACAAGAAACTCTAAAATAGGCACATAAAGGGGGACACCAAAACAAAAAATAAACAAAAATTGCCTGCTTTTTTCAAGATCAGAAATAGTAGTAGGATTATAAAATTAGAATCTTTGTACTCACAACTCTAACTTATTTATTAGAAAAACAAACAACAACATACTCGGTGTAGTCCCACGAAGTAGGGAACCTTACCCCTACCTCAGAGTTATCGAGGTTGTTTCCAATAGACCTCTCGACTCAAGAAAAAACAGTGCAAAACAGTCCAAGAAAAGAAGTAAAGGAAGTACAAGAAAAGACAGATAATAACAAAATAATACGATAATCAAGGTTCCAAGGAATCAACATATAGTCACAAAAATCGAAGGACAAGAAATTACAGAAGTAATAGTACGACTACTACTATGAACGGACATCCAGACAATGTACTGCTTCTTAGAAAAATAAACTCCTTTTTTTAATAGCTGTCTATTTTTTGTAAAGCAATCTCCAAGATTGTTCTGTACATGTGCACAAGAAGTGGAAGACACACTGCATAAGCTAAGGTGCTCATATCCAAATAAGAGAAGAAAGATGGAAAGAAAAAAATAGTTTTTTTTTTCTTTACAAAAATTAAAATAGGAAATAATAAATTTAAAAAACAGTACGGAAAAAGAATTACCTTCCTGTCATGCATAATACATACTCCATGTTCATGCTGCTAACATTTCTTAATAAAGGTTACTAATCACACTATTAATGAATAATTAAATAAATTTATTAGATGACCCTATGAGTAAATATTACTCCTACATTATAATTTGTTTGCCTGATTTTGACTTAAAACGGAGTAATGAATACTTTTTAATCTCATAGACAAAACTAAAAATACTTTAGCATATATCAAAATGTTCTTTAATCTCGTACTAAACCTGACCCTCACCCAACTCCACTCGTGGAAATACACTGAGTAATATTCAGTAGTATGTTGTTGTTAAGAAGTTAAACTACAGAGAGGCAAAAAAGAGAAGAAAAAAAAGTGAGGACTGTACTTTTTTCAAAGTAGATGTCCTGCAAATTGTATGGAGAAGAAGAAGAAGTGGACATACATACAACATGACAAAATTAAAGAAAAATTCAAATAAAACAAGAAAATAACAGTAAACCATTTAACATACCTTATACTTTTTCCTTGATCTTGAAATGTATCTGGTTTTGATCCCAACTTCATGAACTTCATCTCTATTTTTTTCCTTAAGAAAAACCAAAATCTCTGCTTAAAAACTCCAACTTTTAGTACAATACAACAGTACACAATCACACAACTGAAAACTAACCCAAAAAAACCAAAATCTCTGCTTAAAAACTCAAACTTCAGTACAAATACAACACACCTAACTAACTAAGCCAAGAAAACCCAAAGCTCTGCTTAAAGACTCAAACTTTAGTACAATACAACAGTCATACACACAATCACACAACAAACTAACCCAAGAAAACCAAAATTTCTGCTTAAAGACTCAAACTTTATTACAAATAAACAGTCATACAACACAGCAAACAACAAACTAACCCAAGAAACCAAACTTCCAACTTCTGGGGTTAACTGAAATTCACAGATACAAGAGATAAAACAAGTAAAGATTCCATTTTTATCACTCAAAAAGAATATTTCCAGTGAAGAAGCATCCTAAACTCCAATACAAACAGAAAGAAACAAAAGAAAAAAAAAACACTAACAGAGCATAATCTTGATTTTGCTTTTACTCCCACCCCCACCTCGACCCTCGAGCCAAAACACCAAAATTTCAATACCCTTAATCCCTCTTTAAACTCCCATTAACACTAAACCACAAAAGACTCAAATTTAAACAAACCCCACATGCAGAAAAGGAAGATAGATTGGTTGAGTCTTAAATTTGTAGCCGCCTTTGAATTAACTATTTCACCTAAAAAAACTTGCTAGGCTGTTTGATGTAAAAAAATTCTTCTTTTTTACTATACAAAAAACTAAGACACTAATTTCAAAGATTTCTGCAGCTTTTTTTTCTCTTTTTCTCTGTGTATATAGATACATAATGAGGTGTCTCTCTCTCTGTATACTGAATACACTGATGAAGTTGTCGTCCAATCTTGGAAAAATAGCAGAAGAGAAAAGAGATAATATGAGAGAGAAAAATGTCAGAAGAGAGGAGAGAAAAAGTGTATTGGTTTGTAGACTGTGTAGACACAACCAGCCTGGTTGGAGAGAATGATGTGGTAACAAGGAGGTTTTGTATAACATATTTAATCAAAAGTCTCGAGTTTGAATTTTTTGAAATATGAAGTTGCATTGGTTACTTAGGAAGTCTTTAGTCTCTATGTGAACCTTTTTATTGCGATCCGAATTTAGTCAACTCCAACATAGTGTAAATCCTAGTCAGAATGATCTTTATAGCGGTTCATTGGATCCTGCTCTCCGGATCGCCATTAGTCTCCATCTTTTATTTTAAGTCTTTTAACTTTCCTTTTGAAGTCTTGAGATGTAATTCAGATTCTGGAAATGTATTAGATGTTCTTTATATCGATACTATCAAGTTTTGAGAAATTTGTTGTTTTCTTTCGTTTGTAGCCTGACTTTCTTTTGGGAGTTTCGTATGTGTTTTAAGTTTTATTTCGACTTACACATCATTTTGGGGTTCTGGGGGTGTATATGACTATGACCTCGATTTATGGGTTGTGACAAATTGGTTAAAAAATAAAAAATAAAAATAAAGAAAAGGCGGTTTTGTAATTTTAATTTATTATTTTATAAGGAAATATACACTTAGGAGTCATTTGGTGTGAGGTATAATAGTTCTGAAATAAAATATAAAATAATTTTATTTTGTGTTTGATTGGAGGAATTAGAAAGCTATTGAATTATTTATTGCATCATTTACATCATAGTGATGGAATAATATACATGATGAGATAAATTATCCTAAATAATTAGTCTTGAAATAACTTGTTCCTAACTAAACGACCTCTTAGTTTCATTTTAATTCATTTGATTTACTTTTTTCATTTGATATGTTTAAAATTAGTATATACTAACTAAAAGACATTTAATTGATATTTTCTATGTATCATTAATGGAACATCAGTAGTATGAGATTGTAATTATACTTATCTTAGTGTCCTTGATAGACAAGTCAACTCTTTATAAGTCAATAAATTTGATAAAATACGAAATTTTTTTAGCTTAACGCCAAATGGCAATTGAATGAATCTTTTCATAAACACTGTGGAATAAGGAAAAAAATCAGTATTACAAAATTTGTTGACATGAGTACAAGCGTTTAAAAATCTCAAAATTTAAAAACAAGTAATGCTATATTATGTGTGAATAAAAAAGGCATAAATAAAGGCATAACGATAGAAGATATCTAAGAAGTTGCATGACAATGAAGCATCTATCTCCAAATTTCGAGTACTTCAGTAGCAATGAAGATCACTCACTAGTCGTGCCTGACTCAATACCTATATAATAAAGGTACAAAAAGACAAAGATAAATACAAAAAACATGTGTATTCAATAGCGTCGTCGATAGATCCTAATGATCATTATTCAATCATAGATATCAATTCATTTCTATAAAGACTCAAACTAGCATATAAAAACAACAAAGGTATTCAACAACAACAATAAAATAGACTCCCTAAATTAAGGAAAATCATTTTCCACATGCTAGGGCAAAAATTCTCAAATTCAAATTCTCAAACACCATTAAATCACTAATTTAATGATAAATTAATTAATTTTTTACAAATGTATATTAAGAATTAAAATACTACCCCACAAAAAAATCTAGCAAAATCTCTTGATTTTCACTTCACACCGTGCTCTTTAATTTCCCTAATCATGTATTAAAAAGATCCAAATTAAAAAATTTCACTATTCATATCAGTAATTTTTGTTGAGAAACGAAAAATTTCACTATTCATATTCAAATCAGGAAAAAAATTAATGTAGCATATTTTTATCTGATGTCGATTCTAATATTAGCACGGTTGAGAAATACACATGATTAGAGGGATTTGAAATATTTATTTTAATTATATTTAAAGATCTAAATAAAACTTCGTGAAGTATAAAAATTAATTTAATAATTCAAAATAAATATAAGAATCTCTCAAATTATTCGCTCCAAATTATTCTATCCAAAACAAAAATAATAATAATGAGAAAATAGCACGTGCATATTTCATGATATAAAAGTATCCACAAAGTTTATTAACTTTTTGTGTAAACAGTGAAATAACTAGTCATGCATGAGGTAAGTGATGCTTACAGCTTTGGATACCATAATTGCACCTCTTGTTTGGTCATAATTTTAAAGTTTGAAAATTTTAAAATTTGAAATATTGTTTGGATGTATTTTTATTTATATATTAAATTAAAATTTTGTAAGTAAAAATTCAAAAAAAAAAACTCAAAAACTGGCTAATTGAAAATATTTTTAAATTAAATTTTATGATTAAATGCTTATTTTGATAAAAATAAATCTTTATTGATAATTTATTGGCTCTTGATTTATTGATAATTTATATTCTACAAAAGCTTGACTTGAAATTTTCAAATCTTGATTTTATACATTTTTTTAAACACAAAATTTATAAATTATATTCTGATATGTCTTTTGAAATTATTTGACAAAATCTTTCATGTGTCAGTTTGAGCCTATATTCGTTCATTATTTAATAAGCTGAACTAATAAATAAATGGATCTTTAACTTTCTTAAGCTTAAATGAATTAATCGGATTATAATTTTACGAACTAACTATGCCGCCTCTAATTTTCTTTAAACTCCTGAACTATCCATCATCATTTTTATTTGTTGAACTAAGAAGTCTTTATTTTTTTCATATATATATATATATGTAATTCTTATTATTATAGTATTTCTCACATTTTAATTATTTTTAAAAAAGAAAAAGCATAAGGCCTTTAATTACTTTAGCTTTTGACTGAACCACATATCCCCATGTCCTGGGAAAACGACTTACCGACACCAAATATCCTTTTGATTGCACGAATTCTGGTCCAAATTTCAAGGAAAATAAAAACATGAAAAGAAAATTTGAAAAAAAAGAAAAGAAACTAACAACAACAATAGATATATCGATTTTTAGATATGAAGAAGTAAACACACGAAGGGTGTTTAGAGTTCATTACGTCATACGATATATCGATTCAGAGAACTAACTTTTAATTTAAGTCATCTATTCTACTCCCATTTAAAGTGATGCTAGAACTGCGAGGTGTGCTTCGCTCGACCACACGATGAATATGTTTCAAGCTGATTGCATGTCAAACGCTCGAGCAGAGAGCTTGTGGTCACTTGTTCCAACTCGCTTGTTAGAAAGAACTTCATATTGAATTCAACACTACATATAATATTTCATTAAGGTCCTCCTATAGCTTTTTGCTTGCTTATACAAAGAGCATGTTCGAGGGGCTATATACTATACACATACGACACATTTGCATTACCATTTGAGCTTCGTTGAACCTCCTACGCCTAAGTTGTTCCGGCACTACTGAAATTATTTTTAATTAACGCTCAATTTACTTTGAAGCATTTCAAAATAGATATGAAAAGTAAATATAAGAGCGAAGAAATAAATTTTAAAAAATTGTATGGATAATTTGGTATATTAGATAAACATAAATAGTTTAAAAATTATAATTTAATACTATTTTATATCTTATTACTTACTAATTCTATAATTCAAAATTAATAATTAGAATCGCAATAATACATGTGATTATTGGATATATGCAAAGCAAAATTGTAAAATTTCAACCACAAATTATGGCTTATAAATATTTTTAAAGCCTAGATAACATTGTCACACTTTCAAAGTGTAGATAGGGACATCAATTGATCTCTATCAAATAATGGAATAATAATTTCAAAATTAGTTATTTTTTGATATAAGATAACAAAAATATCATAAACGCATCTAAGGTGTGGCCTAATGATCAATTAAGTGGTTGAGAATCATGAAGTCTCAGATTTAATTTTCAGCGGAGATAAAAATACTATATGATTCTTCCCATTTATCCTAACCTTGATGGATAAGTTACCTAGTATCCGTTGCTGATCTATAAACGGAGCAACCCCTAAATAGGGGTGGGCATGATATGGTGCAATACGATATTTGAAAATTGCGATTTCGTAATTTCGGTCTTTAAAACATTATATCATTACGATACCAATTTAAATCGGTATGATTTGGTATATTGAAGTTTGGTTTTTGGCATTCTACGATATGATAAATCGATATGTGTGTGTGCTATTTCTAAATACCAAATATCGTACTGAATATCCAAAATAAAATAAAATGTATACTATATACCACACCAAATACCATAATACCAAAACTATGATATTAGAAATTTTTATATGATGTAATAATTCGGTATATACTATACCATGCCTATCCTTACCCGTAAAGGATGATGTTTATAAGAAATAAACCAATAAAATATGGAGTACAAGGTAGTAATTGAACACCATAAATTATTAGCCAACCTAGGAATATAAGTGAGTTACTCTAATTAATTAGCTCCTATTGGGCTGCATTGAATAATTGATGTCATGCAGTACGATTAGCATTCAATTCATTCAACAAAGGTAGTCTTACTCTTACAAAGTTATGTGAAATGAATTATTCCTTACTAACTTATTCTATATGACGATATTTGATGAGACATGAAATATTAAAAATGTTAAATATGACCTAAAGCAATTAAAGTTGATTATAAACATCTATATGACTATGTGCTCCACTTATACATATTGTGTTTGAGTCTTGTATTTTATTTTTATATACAATATACTTTTTCGAATAGGATGTCTAATATTTTAGTCTATTTCAACTAAAGTAACTTTTGAACTGATCAACACATTTTATCTCTCATTCTATTCATAACCAAATGACTATTTTAAAAAAGTGAGTTTCTAATTAGTTCAAGGGTGCAATAATTGTTCAAATTAGGCGTGGGATAACAACTATCTTAAATTAATGATGAAGAAGAAAAAGGTACCCTAAAACTTTTGTATAATGATGAATCCAAGTAGTGGTTTCCTTTCTATTTCTTTTTTTTAGGGTGAGGGTGGGGGTGGGTCTATAATAGATAGCGGTGAAGTCAGAATTCAATTTACGAATGTAAATATTTGAATATGCTAATTTTTTTAAGACAAATACGTTATTTAAGTAAACGCTATATTGAATTCAACCGAACTAGTTGAGGGATGTTACTTTTCTATGCAGGGGACTATATGCACCTTTTTATATCTATCTACTACTATATACTTCCTCCGTTCATTTTTTAATATCATATTGCGCTTTTCGAAATTTAATTTGACTAATTTTCAAAGTTAAATTAGATTACATTAATTTAATATTTTAAACGAAAAGTTTAAATATTCAAAAACTATACGATAGGTACTATAAATTGCAGTTTTTTGCATATCAATATGATAAAAAAATACATCGTAAAATGTTAGTCAAAATTTTTATGGGTTGACTTTAAAAAAGGAAATCATGACAATTAGAAGTAGACGGAGGGAGTAATATAGAATGATTATATTATATACAAATAATTCAAAGTTGTAATGTTACCCTAGTTATTAGTATTGCTTTTGGTTACAACTAAAATAAAAAAGATCATCTCCAGGTTTTATATATGTTGTTAAAGTTTGACATGATTTCTATCTACTACGTAGACATTATTGTATATATAGTTAAATCACTTTATAATAATGTCATTTATCGGAATATTCACTATTACTATAGTGAAATATCTTTATAGAAAGCACACAAAATGTAATATTTTGATGAGTGATGTTACATGTGTAAAATATATTTTGGCAGTCACATGAGTAGGTCGTTTAATATCAAATATATATTTTTATTTAACTATAAAATGTAATATTTCAACAAGTGATGTTATTGACGCCCTTTAAATATATGTGCCTCTGCAAGTATTGCTTCTTCCATCTTCATCATATTAGTATTGCTTCCTCCCCAATAACACTAATTTCAAAACTTCACCATTGAAATTCAACGAGTTGTCGTTGAAATTCACCATTGAAGAGTTTCGAAGCTTAAATTTTAAAATTTAATCTGTCGTAAAAGTGAATTGTTATGAGTAAATAATGTATCAAAAGAATCAAGATATTGAGAGGAGTTTATGTCTGATTTTGAGTTGATGTCCATAAAAACCCATCGGACTCGTCCATAGGCCTTGTTAAGCGGCTTGTTCATAAAATTGCACGATTTATCCTCCAAATAGTTGATTTTTAACTTTTATCCCCTCGCCCCCCTCCCCCCCACCTTTCAATACACTCTACCCTCCATCTCGACCTCTCACACATCCCTCCAACTTTTATAGTGTTTACCTAAATTATACACAAATATTTTTCAGGACAATATTTTCTATACATATCAAACACAATATCAATAAGAAAATCACTTATTTTTCAAAAAAAAAATTTTTTTTTTAAGAAAATACTTTCCGTGAAAGTACATTTTTACCTTCATACCAAACACTCTATATCATTAGATATTTCTTTTTTGTAAAATACATATGTACAAATCTTAAGTGTGTGAGATATGAAACTCACAAGAAAGTAATAATTTAGGTTGTGTTTTTTAACTATCACTTGCTAGTAGGAACAAGAAGCAAAGGCTTTTGTCTCTGCAATGGCACAGCATATTGTTCATTCATGTCAAGCATCAAAGGATCACCATTATTTGGAAGAGACCACTCAAAGTGATAAACCAAATAAGCCAAAATCAAATGCATTTGTTTTGTAGCAAAGGGCAAGCCAGGACACATTCTTCTTCCAGCACCAAATGGCAAGAATTCGAAGTCTTGACCTTTATAATCAATATTTGTGTTCAAAAATCTCTCTGGCTTGAATGAAAATGGATCATCCCAAAGGTTTGGATCATGTCCAATTGCCCAAAGATTCACAAAAACTAGACAACTTTTTGGGATTGTGTAGTTCATAACTTGACATGTTTCACTTGCATAGTGAGGTAGAAATGCTATTGGTGGATGTAGCCTTAAGACTTCTTTAATGCAAGCATTTAGATAAGGGAGTTGAAAGATTGTTGATTCTTGAATGGTGTTTGAGTTTATTGATCCATTTTGAAGTTCAGAGTTGAGTTTCTTCATCACTTCTTTGTTCCTCACTAGCTCAGCCATTGCCCACTCAATTGTGGATGTCAATGTTCCTGTTCCTGCTGGAAATATTTCCTACAAAACATTTTAAAGAAAAGTATCAACTATGCCAACTCTCTACAGGAGTAACGTCTGCGTACGCCCTACTTGTGGGATAATATCGAGTATGTTGACGTTGTTGAGTTAACTATGTCAACTCTCTATACCCCCACAAAGATATGAGTAAGGATGTGTATACCCTACTTGTGGGATCATATCGGGTAGTGTTGATATTGTTGAGTCAACTATGTCAATTCTCTACCAACACAAAAATAGGAGTAAGGATGTGTGCATCCTACCTATGGGATCATATCGGGTAATGTTGATGTTGTTGAGTCAACTATATCAAATATGTAATTGAATTCATAAAATTGGTATCAAGCTATGTTGTTCCGACTCTCCAAAATTGTTGTCACTCCATGTCGGATTCTCCAGAAAGCACTACTTTTAGAGTATCCAACATACCCATCGATATTTTTTAAGAGTCGAGCAACATGGTATTTTGACACTTGATGGTAAAACTACCTTTGATGACAAAAATAGTTAATGGTAAAAGATAAAAGTCACATCTAATTATCACTTTTTCTTCGTGAGTTTCACACTTCAATTATTAAATATTCTCTTTTTCTATCTAAACTATCACATGTCAACTATTGGTTGTTCCATTTTCCTAGCTGAATGTTAAGGGGGCAACTAATAGTTGATCGTGTGTTTTAAGACACAAATGATCACATATCAAGTAGGAAAAGTGAAAAACCAATAGTTAAGCACGAAAAAACATGCATTCTCTTTCAACAAATAGGTTTGTGCCAACACACCTACGACTTCCGTACAGATATTCAAAATATAAAAAAAAATAAACACACGATAGAAAAGTAAGTTTTACATACCAGAAGCATGTAATTGATTTGATCATCAGAAAATCCATTAGCAAGCATTAAATCCAAGAAATCCCCATTATTTTCAACATAAGATTCTCTTCTCTCCTTTATTATCCCTTCCCAAATTTTAAACAAATTATCAAGACACTTCTTTGCCGCCTTCTTTTTACCTTGAATATCAACAACTCCATCAAAAATTGGAAAAAAATCAGCTAAAATTGGAGTTGTACCATACTCCATAAACCTCCAAATATTCCCTTTCATCTCACCAATAACTCTCTCATCTTCCAACTTAACCATATTTCTTGAAAAACAAATCTCCCCCAAAACATTAAAAACATTACCAAAAACAAGATCCCCAATTTTCACAACTTTACCTTGTTTAAAATTCAAGAAATTCACCATTTCAACAACCCCTTTTCCCCTTTTTTCAGCATATGATTCCATAGCTTTACTTGAAAAAAGCTCAGTTTTCCACAAAACCCTTATAGATTTCCAGTGACTATTACACTCTGTAGACCAAAGAAGTGAGTATCTCTTAAGATCTGATTCTTTTATTGGTGTTGCTTTTGGTGCATAACGAGCAGAGAGTTGTTTGTCATGATTTTTCAAGATTTCAATGGCAGATTCAGGTGAAGATCCAAAGACTACAAGCTGATTTCCTAGTTTTAATGAGATTAAAGGGCCAAGATTTTGGGATATTTTTGTGACTATGATGTGGGGTTTTTTGCTTATGATGAAATTTGGGATGTTGCCTATTATTGGCCATTGGAATGGTGAAGGTGGAAGATTTTGGGGTTTTTTCAAGAATGTTGAGTTTTTGATTATGTAGATTAAAAGTGGGAAAAGAAAGATGAATAAGGAAAAAAGATTGATTGATAACAAGTTCATTTCTTGTTTTTTTTGGTGAAATTTTGAGTTTGCAATGAAAGAAATGTCAACTCTTAGTTGATTAAGGAGTCACTTAAAATATGATTAAAATTAAGTGGAATTAGTTGAAGTGTAATATTTAAAACTAGTTAGATTTTTAAATAAAGTTGTTAAATTAGGTGGTCTTGGACCTAAAACACTCAGCCTGGGGAATACGATTGCAAGACCGAAACTCAAAGGAATTGATGGGGGCCTGCATAAGCGGTGGAGCATGTGGTTTAATTTGATACAACGAGCAAAATCTTACCAGCCCTTGACATATGAACAAGAAAACCTGTCCTTAATGGGATGGAACTTACTTTCATACAGGTGTTGCATGGCTGTCGTCAGCTCGTGTCGTGAGATGTTTGGTCAAGTCCTATAATTTACACTCCAAAAGCTAGCTCAAAGGGAGGAAGATTGTTCAATCCTTATAAGGAGTTCACTCATCTCTTTAACCAACAATGTGAGACTTTTTGCTTTAATCTTTAACACTTCACCTCACGCCCAATGCTTAGCATCTGGTGTGTAGGAAATTTTTGGGTAATTTTTTATTTTTTGGGTCCCCAACATTTGGCGAGATGAGCTCTGCTCTGATAATATGTTAAATTAGGTTTTGGGTCTAATTTACACCCCAAAAGCTAGTTCAAAAAAGGAGGATTGTCAAAGCCTTATAAAGAGTCTACTCATCTCATTAATCACAAATATGAGACTTTTTACTTTAATCTTTAACAAAAGTGGACATGAAGAAGTATGAAGTTTGTCATCACAAAAAAAATAAAGGAATTAGAAACTATCTTGATCTTTGTATCTGCCTTTAAGATTACATGGGGTTTTGATGATCGACATATATTGATTTACTGATCTACACTTTACCTTCTTACATGGTTACTCGAAGTAAGTTCAATACTTATCTACACTTTACCTTCTTACATGATTACTTGAAGTAAGTTCAAATGTCATCACAAAAAATTATATATATTTCTTTTTCTTGCTTAGAAAAATAGAACATTCAAATCTTATACAACACTATATAAAGAACATTTCTTTTCTTGCTTAGAAGGATAATCTTAAATCACAACAAAAATGAACCATATTACATAGATAGAGGTATATTTGTATTGAAATTTATTCCTAGTCTCTTCTCTATTTTTGAGGTTGAAATATTTAAATAGTTCTACAATAACACAAGACACATGCAATCACAAATATTTAATGAGATGTTTTATTTGCTTGAAGTTTCTTTCGGAGAGCAATTTTGCAAACCTACAAAAAAAAAAGTATTATAATTAGTATTTAAAATAGATTTATTGAGAAAGTAAAAAACCCTAATATGTAGCTTATACAAGCAAAAGTCTACATCTATTCCCTTCATTTAATTTTACGTGTCTTAATTTGACAGAATACAAAGATAATATAACGAATATTTTTGAAAATAAAAATGCGTATAACATACTTTGAAGATTACACCCAGTATATATATATATATATATATTACCTCTTTAGAGCTTCTTCATTAGTTTCAGGATCCTCTTTGGAGTTTTGTTTCTTCAACAAATTTTCACCAACTTGTACCAATAATTTCATATTAGCCTCTGTAGCATTAGCCATTGCAGTAGTTGAACCTGTTAGTGCATTTTCCTGGTTTTTTTTTTACATATATATAAAGAACAATTAATTATTTAAGAACATATACAAAATATACTCAATATTTATACCATGTATATATATTAGTTCTACAAGTTATTATATTCCTTGTATACACTTTAGATATCCATCCTATTTAGCGATGAATTATCACAAAATTTTATTGGCTACGAGGGTATACAACTATAACTTTTGACGGGGGATTTATACATACAAAAATTGTATTGACCTTATATATACAGTATAATTTTTCTAACGAAAGGAATTTAATTAAACGTACCCCCTTGCACCCTCATATATAGTTCTACACTTAGCTACGAGCAATTTAGTGATCGATGAAGTAAATAATTAAGTGAGATGGTCTTACTTGAATCCTGAGGTAATTTTTTTGATCATTAAGAGCTTGAAAGACAGTAGCAATGTAATAATCATTCATGTAAGAATTTGCTGAAGACATAATTTGTAGAAAAGGACTTGAATGTTTGTTATGAATTAGCCACTCAAGAGCACCCCATTTAGCTGCTTCTTGTGTTGTATATGTTGTATAAAAATCTGCAGCATTCCCAGTGCCTAATGAGAGCAACAAAATTTGTTCATAGTTCATTGATTTAATTGATGACAATGCTGGATCCGCTTGCGTCGAATTGTTGGTTGCCACGCTAAGTGCAACTAAGGCCTGTATGTATATTTATTGTCATGTCAGATCTCTCTATAACACTCATTCTTGGTAAGAACATATTTGCGTCATTAATAATATAACAAAAATATAAATAGCTAGAGACCATGTTTTTAATGAGGATATATTTAGTCTCACTAGTTAAGGGTACTAGTTGGATTTGAACTATGGTCTTGCGGGTGATCTCTCAAGCTTGTACCAACAGCACAAAGACACTCATATGTTTCTCATGGATGTACAGTTAGATAGATATACATATATAGACATGGTTTTTTTCGAAATTAACAGGTGCACGTGCACATCCACCAAACCATGTGGGTCCGTCTTTGCTCTAGATACATGTATTTTGGATACATGGGGTCAAATTTAGGTGTAAGTTGTTCTAGATTCATTGTATCCAAGTGAATTCGCATATATCTGAGATATAAAGCAAACCTCGCATGCCTCCCTCGCCTCTCTCCTATCTCGCTCGCCACTCTCTTGGTAAACCAAATACATGTGAATCACTCCAGATACATACATATACATGTATCTATTGTGATTCACATATATATATCTGAGATACATACGAATCTCGCTCGCCTCCCTCCCTAATCTCGTTCGTCTCTCTCCCTATTTTTAAGTATCTGGAAGCAAAAGTATATGTATCTAAGTGTAATATACGTAGGACACTACAAGACAAACAACTTTTAGCGGCAATAAATAAACATATTAATAAAGAGTGCTAAAGTCTTTATCGGCATTAATTAAGTGCCATTAGATGCAATGTCGCTAAAGACTTTAGGGACATATACAAAGGGTGTTAATTGCCGCTAAAAGTATATATTTAGCGGCAATTAAGAATTTATTGTCACTATTGCTCATTTTTGTTGTAGTGGGAAACTCTTAATTGATGATAAGATACGTAATATTTTAAAAAGTACAGGTAATAATAGTATGTATGTCTAATTACGTACCGGATTTGCAGCAGCAACACTACCATCAATAAGATTGAACTCAACTTGATTTCCTTTAGCATCATTAGTGACAAAATAATGTGGTGGAAAATATGTTATAGAGCTACAGCCGTGCTGTAGCATATGTCACACATCTTTGCATCCAACTCAGGAGAATTGGCTAACTGTGTATAAGTATTAAGTTTGTCTAATTAGATAATTATTTTTAAAATCAGCTCATAAAAATATAATTTTCTCGGTTCGTTCAAATTTAGATAGGTCATTGATCCGTTTATTTATTGACTCATCCTATTAAAAAAACTGACATGATATGTAGAAAAATTGACCCAAACTTGCTATAATATTTTTAGAAAAAACATTTTAATTTATTATAACTCAACTCATTTTATTTCGAGTAAATTTTAAATCGATTAATAAATTAATATAATATATATATATATATATGAAAGATTTACCTTGGACTTAGTGAATATTATTGGCTCGTTTTTCTTGATGTTTAAGGTTGGAATGACATCATTTGTTAAAGCTTGATGCAAACGAGTCTCTCCCAACTTATCTTGCAAAACTTTGTGAAGATATTTTCCATCATATTTTGGAGCAAAAATTGGAGGCAATTCACTGTAATTGAAATCATTTTTTTTTGTATTAAAACATATTTCGATACCGACTTGACCTATACACATATGTTGTAGAATGGAAATAATATGTGACAGCCCAGCCCGTTAGTGATATTGTTCGCTTGTTGGTAAGACATGTTTACTTATATACTCAACATTTTTTCTGTATTTTGTCGATGCGAGACTTTTATCTTAAGTTGGGTTGTCACATACATCCCCTCTATGGACTCAACATCCTTGTTGAGGTTTTTTATCTTAAGTTAGGGTGTCACATACACCCCCTCTATGGACTCAACGTCCTTGCTGAGGTTTACCCTACCACATGAGATTTTTCTAGACTCAGCAGGGCCACATCGACAAAACCGACATGTGATCGGGTTTGATATCATTTTTGACTGTTCAACCAGCTAGTGATATTATGACGACTTTGAAACACATTATTAATTGGTAAGACTTGCTTATTTATATACCCAATATCTTTCCTATGTTTTACCGATGTGGTACTTCTTATCCTAAACTAAGATGTCATATAATATTTGGACAACTCAACATCCAAATGTGTTTTAATACATATATGTATAAAAGTTAAAGTTTAGAATAAAATTGTCAAATAATATTAAAAACAATTATGTACCTAGGTGGGAAAATCCTTGGGTCATGCTCAAAGTAAAAGGATACAATATCTTTGGCAGCACAAAAGGGAAGATTATTTTCATTTGGAGCAGTGATCATAGTGGCTAATATTCCACCAGTACTTGTTCCAGCAATCACATCAAAGTAATCTGCAACTCTTCCATCTTCACCATCCAATTCCTGACTAAGAAAATCTTTTTCAGGATCGTCGCTCTAACGTTTTTTTCGACATGTAACAAAGTCTAACAATAAATCTAACATGGAAAACAATTACTATTCCTTAAACAACACGATTTAGACTTAAAAAGAGAATTTTCATGAAGGATTGTGAGATAACCTTCCACTCAGACAATTTTTCATATATAGACTGGGTTGTGCACATACGAGATCCTTAATTATAATATAGATTTGTTGTCTGATTTAGCGTCATAAAAGGTTTTTAATTATTAGTTTTGATATGTCATCTTGTTATTTTGATCTCCACATGATAATCATCAAAATAATACAATTCAAATATAAAAAAATATATAGTAATGCCACACCCACACATACGTTTTTAAAAAAAAATAGGTATGATACATCGATACCTGAGTTGGTCTTCAAGAAAAGCAAGAATAGTAGCCAGAATAATTCCTCTTATGCCTCCTCCATCAACGCTAAGAATTGTCACCATTTCTCCCAACACATGAGATGTTACTACCAAAAAAAGGATAATGAAAAATGATGTTCTAGTTGCCATTGTTAGACTATCTTTTTTGGAGTACAAAAGCATTGACTAACAAGCGAGGGTTTATATAATCACATGAAAAGTCTTTGGTTCAAGTCCAGGAAGATCATTTACTCTTTGTAATCAGATTTGTTAGCAGAATAATCCAACAATTATTATATTTATAAGCGAGCCGGACCGGGGTCAAAAAGGTTCAAATGAATATACTTGATCGAAATATTTTAATATTTTATATAGGTTAAATTTGATAAATTATAATTAATCATATCATGTTAAATGAACTAATGTGATCCTATGGTGTGATGATTTAGTAGGTTCAAAAAATTATTGTGATATGATGTTTGAAACGCCTATGCAATATTAAATCTTAGATATTTTTTTACTTAATTTTTTGTTTTGTGTTACCATATATATTATTACAAATGTGTGCACATTTGGTCAATTTTAAGGTTATACCTTATTACTTTCTGTCTATGAATTATTTTTCTCTATTTTTAACTCTTGTTTTTTTCTATTTTAGAGAGTGTTTGACTAAGAGTTTATTTGAATTGATTTATTTTAAATGTTAAAATAACTTTGAAGTATTTTTGTAGTGTTTGAATAAAATATAAAAAAAATTTAAACATTTGTTTTAAACTCAAAAAGACAAAAAATTGTCAAAAGTCATAAGTTAGAATTCTTAACTATGACTTTTAAGTCAAACAGACAAAAATAAGTCAATAACTATAATTAGAATTCCTAACTTATTATTTTTGACCTATAATTAGTCATAAATCATAATCTCATCCAAACAAATTCTAATTTTATAAGTTGGTCAAATTGACTTATAAAAGATATTTGACTTAGCGTATTAGCTGGTCAAAGTGTTGACCAAGCTTTTTAAAAAAAATGACGTGTTTGGCTAGATTTTTGGGAGAGAATAAGTGTTTTTCCGTAGTACATAGTAGTTGAAGTTGTTTTCGAAGCTAAAAAAAGTATAAGTTTTAAAAAGAAACACTTTAAAGAAAATACACTTAAAAATTCTTTCAAAAAGTTTGACCAAATATTAATTGCTGCAAAAAAGTTTATATTATTTATAGGTTAAAAACAAACTATTTCTCACCAACAAATACTTTTTTGACAAAAGAATTTTCACCGTAAGTTGATTTTAGAAACTGGCCAAACATATTGAGGATCTCTGATTAATTGTTGGTAACCACTTGCATATAAATTCACATAAATATGAAGAAATTAACTAGTATCGAATAATTAACAAGTTCAAGAATCTCTTATATTTATAATAATTATTTGTATAGTATTAACTTGGCACTTCTAAATTGATACACCCTCTGACTACTTTTATTTGTAAAGTATTAACTTGACACATTTCTTAACGATCAATATATTACTATATCATTTTTTGAATCTAATAAATTCAATGCTTTGAAAAATGAATATAATTAATAGTAAAAAAATTTTAAACTAAAAATGATTGTTTTATTTTTATTTTTAAAAAAGAAATGAGTTTTAAGAGTCGCCACTTAATTTTTAAAGTAAAATTAAGTGAACTATTTTTTCAAAAGATTAAAAACAGAAAATCTAATGAAATATATTAAAAAGGGTTCGGGATTCATATTAATGTTTTAGGAAGTGTTTGAAAGCACCTAAAACATCCGCTACTTGCGGTTATCCGACAATTAAAATATTTGGCTAATTACTTTAAGAAAAGCTAGCATGCTTAATTAAGTTGCAAAAATAAACAGTTTAAAACTCAAAATTATTTTTTAAGGGGAGGGGAAATATTGGAGAGATATTACTTAAGTAAATACCTTGCAAATACTCTAAAGAGGGTTAAGTAGAAAAAATATAATTTTATTTAATTTTAGAAAAATATAGGTGTTAACTCAAAATGGTTTCTTTGGGGAATCAAATTGGGAAGACCTTAAAATCAGATAAAACAAATAAACAAGTACCGACAATCAATAAATAATAAGGAAGAGAAGGCTTGGGCCAAGTCCAGTTTTTGTCCGTCTGGGTCGATACTTGGACCTAAATTCAATGTTGGGCTTTTGGCCCATTTATATCTGACCCAATTCTTTCCCATTTGTACCTATCCTAAACTAATTGACCTTTCTTTGGGCTTTTAACCCAATTTTCACCTGTCCTAAAACTAGCAAATAATACCGAAAATAAATAGGCCTTTGGCCCAATTATAATACAACACAAAACTCGAATTTCGGGAGGGTTTTTGGCCCATTTTCATGATTGTATACAGTGTATATCGCTTCTGTATATCACTGTATATTCTACATATTTCGCATATACTGTTGTATACGGAGTGTATACAACCTTTAATTTCGCTCCGAACACTGGCATTTTCTGTTTTCCAGCCCTGTACTTCGGTTTTGACTAAAAAAAAATTAGTTTGAGCCTCCTTGGCTCAAGGTGAAATGCACGGGAAAAATCTGACTTTAAACAGCCACTTTTAATTAAAAATCGACTCAATTCATACAAGGAAACTAGCAAATACAAAACAAGCATTCATTCGCAATATTCATAAGAAACTATCACCTTGACACTCTAACACAACAAACAATATTAATCACTGATGGAGGAATCAAATTCCATGTAAAGAATAGGGATGAAGCCATTTTAAAGTTGAGACAAACAGAATTGTAAATTAAGTTGCTGCCAACAAATCTTTAAATCAATTTATTTTTTATTTTTGAAGAAAGGGTCAAAATATATAACTTAGAAGACGAGTACAGTTGGGGTCGGTTTTGGTATTGTACATACTGGGCCAGTTGGTGGCCTACTGTTATTGATTAATTTCTACCGAGAGTCAAAATTGGGATAAATCATCTTTTTTAATTTTCTAAAATAAAATAAAATATTTATTTTTAGTATATAAGTGGCGACTGAAACAATAATAGAGTAGTAGTATTTTTTTTTTCTTTTTGCTTAGAAAAGAAGATTCCAATGTCACCATATATAATTTATTCAAACATTAAACACAACCAAAAGGTTACATAATCCAACACATTACATAGAGAGACATTTCTAATGAAATTTATCCCTCATAAACTTTGCAAGCGCTTATTATTTAGCATAATAAATTTACAATTACAACCCGAGACCTTGAATTAATAAGATGCTTTGTTTGCTCGAAGTTTCTTCCTATCAGAAAGCAATTTTGCAAACCTACAATGAAATAAACTATTTTAGTTTGCAATAAAATAGATTTATAAGAAATTTAATATGAGTAATACAACTAGCTGATGAGATATAGTAATATGAATAGGGATGTTTGTAGTTTGGCTCGGATTAGTTATTGGTTAAAATTAAAATCAAACTAATCTAGTCGGTGTTTTGAATTTCTAAAATCAAGGCAAATCAAACAAAAAAAAAAACCGCCGGTTTGGTTATTATCAGTTCGGTTCGATTTTAATGATTTTTTTCAATTTAAAAGTAATAATTTTTTTGAGGACATACATATTTCGATAGACACAAACACCTAGTAGATGAACAATCCACAGGAAAGCTACTATTGGTTCAATAACAATACTAGAGTTATTATTACACGAACAAAGTGATTCAATTAAGAGAAAATGTGATTATCTTATGCGAGGTAAGGTAGGCAAAGACTAAAGTAATGAATTTTGATGGACTTGGACTTAGGATTGTAATTTAAGTGTTGGGCTTGAGAAAATGGTAAAGTTAAAGACTTAAAGTTAATTAAAATTTAACAAAATATTCATATCTTTTTTATGAATAATATATAAATAATTATAAAATTTATATATCTGATTTATCGATCCAGTTTGGTTATTTTTTAGTAAAATCAAACCAAACCAAATAGTATCGGTTTTCAAAATTTAAAATCAAACCAAATCAAATATCAGTTTTTTATATCGATTTGATCTAAATTCCGATTCGATATGATTTTTTAACCATAACCACGAACAATCCTATATATGAAAAAAAGCAAAAAATATTTCAAGCACCGACAGAACCGAACGCGTCAGAGTCTATAATGTGTTTTACCTCTTTAGAGCTTCCTCATAGGTTTCAGGATTGTCTTTGGAAACTGGTTTCTTCAATAAATTTTCACCAACTTGTACTAATAATTCCATATTAGCCCCAGAAGCATCATCCGCTTTAGTAGTTGTGCCTGTTAATGCATTTTCCTGGAATTAAATATACTCGTATCGTTAGCAAAGAAAATATGACATGCATATTATATTATAAAATAATAATGGAAAAATTACACATGCTTCACTATCATATATATTTTTGAAATATTACGTATCTTACCACTTATTAAGAATTTCCTATCATACATTAAGAAAAACATACTTAGATACATGTATTTTTGCTATGAGATACTTAGATATTGTATATGTATGCATCTGGTGTGATTCGCATGTATCTGAAATATCAAATACATGGGAGAGTGGCAAGCGAGATTGGAGAGTGCGAGCAAGATTTGCTAATGTATTCTAGACAGGGGCGGTCCTAGAAGTTGACAAGGGGGTTCACGACAAAAAATTACGTTCGTTGTATATTTAAGGCAATTTTAAGAATTTTTATGTCTATATATTGATTTTGAGCCTCCTAAATGTAAAATTAGAGGTTGACTCAGTGGTCGAGGGGTTCAAAACCAGAGGCGAATCTAGGATTTTTCGAACATGAGTGCATCAAGTAAAATGTATTGAAGTGAGAATTGATCCTTAATCCTCAAGGTGAAAAGTTCAACATTTAACCATGTGGACCATTTAGACTTCTTGTAGTATGGGTGCAAGAATGTAATATTATACAAAATCTTAAAAAATATACATATAAAATATCTAATTTTACGAAGAGACCACGGGTGCGGATGCCCTATTTTTGGGCTGTAAATTCGCCACTGTTCAAAACTCACCTTAAGGATCCAAGATCAAATCTTAAAATAGATAATTTTACAAACTAGAGTATATCTAAGTAATAACCTCTGAGATTTATGTAAGTTGCCGATAATAATAGTTGGGACTTACTTGAACCCTGAGGTAATTGTTTTGTGAATGAAGAGCTTGAAAAACAGTAGAAAGGTAATAATCAGTCATGTAAGAACTTGCTGCCTCAGTCATTTGCTGTATAACCAACATCCATTGTAGAGCACCCCAAGTAGCTGTCTCTTCTGCTGTATGTGTTTTATCAAACTCTGAATTAGTGCCAGTGCCTAATGAGAGCAACAACATTTGCTTGTAATTTAATGACCTAATTGAAGCAAATGCTGGATCCTCTTGTGCACGTCTCGTTGCAACGCTAACGGATAATAACGCCTGCATGCATGCATGCATTCACACATAATATATATATAGTACTCCCTCCGTCCCTTTTTAGTTGTCCACTTTAGAAATGGCACACAGATTAAGGCAACAATGATTAGCACAGTGAAGTTACAATTTTACCCTTATGACAACTTTTCACTTCAAAATTACAACCACTTATTTGAATTCAAGTGAAATAAATTGGAGGGAAACAACATACACTTTTACAATTTTCAAGAAGTGTAAATAAGGGTATAATAGGAAAAAATTTGTTGTCCTTTCTTGATTTGTCAAAATGGACAACTAAATAGGGACAACTAAAAAAGGAAATATGGACAAGTAAATAGGGACGGAGGGAGTATTGATTAGCTATTTCGAAAATGTCTGATTGAAAATTGAATCGAAAGTACGTAGTAGTACCGGATCAGCAACAGTAGCAACAGCACCATCAACAAGATTGAACTCATATTTATCACCATTACTAGTATGAGTAATAAAGTCACTGAATCACTGTCACCGTTAAAACTAGTACTCCTAAACACGTCCGATCTCACCATCAAAATGTTTTATTAGATTACATATACATATTTTTAAGATAATATATATTTTTGTATGTATTTACCAAACGTACTAGAAAATAAATAAGAAATTCACTTGTTTACAAATCATGACTGTAATTATTTTGACTTACATTTGACTTGGTGAATATTACTGGCTTATTTGTTTTGATGTCAAAGCTTGAGATGGCAACTTCTGTCAAAGCTTGATGCACACGAGTTTCTCCAAGTTTTTCTTGAAGCACTTGCATAAGATATTTTCCATCATATTTTGGGCCAAAAAATTGGCCAGTACTGCATAATATAATGTTACCAAATTAAATATAAGTATAAAGAACATAAATTTCATATATTTGGGGTTAATTATATCCTATCTCAGAAGTTTACTCAATTACGTACAAAAATACTAAATATTTCATTGCACTCGGATATATTCCTTAGCTGTCCGATACATTTCAAATGATGCATTACTTAATGGAAGGAATGTATTTGAGAGGGGCTAGAGATGTATCTGAGAAGAGATTTTTGTAAGATTTTAATGGTAAGAAATTTTAGAGAATATAATAACTTAAGTTGTGTATTTATGCAATTTTTCCTAAATATAATTCATTACTCAAAACATATTCTCCTTCTTTCTTTCGAGTTGTTTGACCTATTTTTTTTAGTCCATCTAAGAACAATGTACTCCATCTGTCCCATTTTATGTGGCGCTTTTCGGATTTCGAGATTCAAACAAGTCTATCTTTCATCGTAAATTTTTTAAACATTTTGAATTATCAATTATTGTGACTTGTAGTACTTTTTACGTAATTTACAAGTATTTAAATTTCATTTCAAAAAAATTGCAGATTTCATGCGCAAATTCTAGGTCAAACTTAAACTGTTTGACTCTCGAAAAACTAAAAGTGCCATATAAATTGGAACAAAGAGAGTAAGTTGTTGTTTTTACTTTATAGTGACTCTTTGATTTCAACTTTCAACTAGACATGTTTAAGACCACAATATTAAATATTGATATGTTTGACTATCAAAAGACTCAAAAATCCTTTTTCACGCTCTAAACTCCGTATCAAGTTAAAATTAGACAAATAAATTGAAACAGAGGAATATAAATATGTATATGTACCTAGAATTAAATATGAGGGCCATGTTGGAAGTAAAAAGGTACAATATCTTTAGCAGCTGCAAAGGGTCGATTGTTTTCATTTGAAGTAGTTATCATAGCAGTCAATAAACCTCCTGTACTTGTTCCTCCAATTACATCAAAGTAATCTGCAAGTCTTGCATCTGCATTATTGTCCATTTTCTGACTCGAAAAGAAAAGTAAGTCGTATAAATAATAATTCAGAAATAACTCACTTATTAATCAGATATTACATTTACATATTAAAAAAATTTAGTAGATAAGTTGTAACATAAGAAAACCATGATTTATTTGAATAATAATTAGCTTTATCATGACCCTATCGATAATAGAAGTACTATTACTAATCATTATCACTAATAAGCATTGAAAAAAATACAATTCAAGCGTAAAAAAAGAAAAAAAAAGATAGTAATGTCACACTTACATACATACACGAAAAAATATTTTTACGATATCTGAAGTTGTCCTTCAAGAAAATCAAGAATGATACCCGGAATGACTATAATAATGTCACACTTACATACATACATTAAAAAATATTTTTACGATACCTGAAGTTGTCTTTCAAGAAATTCGAGAATGATACTCGGAATGATTCCCTTAATTCCACCTCCATCAATACTAAGAACAGTCACCATTTCTCCCAACGTAGCAAATGTTGAACTAGTAGTTGCTAATATCATAAAAATTAAAACTAAAACAGATTTAGTAGTTGCCATTTTGCAAATGTTCAAAGTGTTTTTAAATTTTGTTGGTGCTTTGAGCATATAACAAGCATGGTATATATAGGCACGTAAACAAGTTGAGAAATTTTATTTTGAGTTTGACATAACCAATAAAAGTTAGTGATGTCTATTAGTGATGTTTATTAGCTCACTCACTTTGCACCGCAACTGTCATTAGTGATGTTTACCTTTCCTTTTTCTATTCTATATTAGTATTATATAATATATATGTGTGATGAGACTTGAAATTGTTTAGCACCGCAAATGTCCTTGTTGAGGGGAGGTATATGAAGATTATCCGTTCAAACAATTCAGGCTCTAATACCAGATGTAAGATTAAATACATTTTAATACATAATATCAAGATCTTGAACACGATAATCTTACATAGAGATCGTTAGGGGCACATACCTGATGAGGAAGACATCATCACAGAGAAAAGCGGAAGCGTTAGTCGTAAATTGGTTTCTACCTCCTTTCCCTAACTTTATGTTACCACAACCGTCAGCGATAGAATTATTGTAGAGAATATGTGGTAACCCTAATGGGTGGAGGGAGGACCAATTTATACAGGTTATGACTTAATCCGGTACGTCCATCAAGTAACCAATGTACGGACGAGATCTATTCCTTATTAAATATTATTTATGGTATTACTTGGGTTACAAGTAAACTTGGGCCATAAGTAAGAAATAATTAATAATAATTCTTACATTTTTATCTTAAGTTATGATGCCACATACATCCCCTCTATGGACCCACTGTCCTTGTTGAGAGGAGGTTTTCTTTTGTTGAGGTTGGGGTGTCACATACAACCCTCTATGGACTCAACGTCCTTGTTGAGGTTTATCTCACACTGCATGAGATTTTTCTAGACTCAGCACTATGATTTTCCCCGCCTTATCAGAAATGCCTAAACTCAGTTGAAGTCAGAGCCATATTGATAAAACTGACACATGATCGACTCTGATATTAAGCAAATTCTCTCCCTCGCACCTCACTCACTTTCCTTTTTCTATTCTTTATTAGTATTATATAGAGCAACTTTCACATATAACAAACAAAAAAAATCATATTTGTATGCTATAGCAAAGTTTGCATAATTGTGTTCCATAGCAAACATATATATGTATAATTCGCTATACATATACAATTGAAAGCTATGTCTATTTCGCTATACATATACAATTGAAAGCTATGTCTATTTCGCTATACATATACAATTGAAAGCTATGTCTATTTCGCTATACATAAATACAAAAAGAAGCAATTGTATAATTCGTTGGCTCCTCTTCAGATTTGTATAATTTTGCTGGCAGACCATTTGTATAAATTGTTGTTAGCCTCTCGTTGGCAAGGGAGTATTTTCATTGTATAATTATAAGTGTATAGGACGAATATATATGTATTTGCATGTGTATATACAATTTTCTCTTACTTTATACAAACATAAACACAATTTATACAATTCTGTTGTATAAAATGAGAAAGAGAGAAAGACAAAAGAGATCTGGGTAGGGGAATATTATTTTTATTGTATAATTATAAGTGTATAGGCCAAATATATATGTATTTGCATGTGTATATACAATTTTCTCTCGCTTTATACAAACAGAAACACAATTTATACAATTCTGTTGTATAAGCGAGAGAGGCGAGCATAGAGGGAGCGAGCGAGAGAGAGAGAGTGGCGAGCGAGAGTTTGAGGGAGAGAGGCGACTGACAAACAGTTTGCTACAGGACACAATTAAATCAAAGAATGGTTATACCATTTAATTTGAATTAATAGTTTACCATTATGTACAATTTTCCCTATTATATAATAGATCCGTTCCAACCGTTCTTTATTTTTGTGGCTGACCCCATAGGTGTGATGAGATTTGAAATTGTTTAGCTCACCACCTCTTTATTTTTAGAAGAATAAATAAAATCCTCATTTCGATATGAAAAACGATCTTTGAGCCTGATTTGACAAATTAAGTTAACGAAGAAATTTGAACTTTGTGATTTTAAATTAAAGATATATTAAAATATTTTTTAATCTTATGATATTAAACACGTCATAATTGATAAGAAGAGAGATTTTCTTTTTAATGAACTAACATGACAAATAAAACAAACAAAGGAGTAATGATCACTACAACAAATTAGATTATGAGGGACAAATAATTTCGTCATCTATAAATCATGTTTCGTCACTAAAAATTTCGTCAATCAATCGTCACTAAACATGTGTCACTCAAAATATACAAAGACGATTTAGTGCTTCGTCGCTAAAACTAATATATTAACTACAAAAAAAAAAATCGTCCCCAAATGCATAAACATTTGTGACGAATTTATTATTTGTCATAAAAAGTGTAACTTTATTTGTAGTTAATAGTATGTTTTATCACTAAAATGGTTATTACTACCGACAAAACTATATCGTCGCTAATTATTTAGTTCAATCAGGGACAACATCAATTGTCTCTAAAGTTGTATGTATTTCGTAGTTGAAAAAAATATAATATCGTCACTAAAGACTATTTTTATATACAAAAAAATATTTTGTCCTTAAATGTATAAATTAGGGACAAATTTATTATTATAAAAAAGGTTAATAATTTTGTGATTAAATTTATCATTTTGTCAGTAAAAGTGTTGCTTTTACCGATGACATATATTGTCACTAAATATTATCATAAGTAGTGACAATTACAATTGTCACAAAATAAAAAAAATTATTCATATTCAACAATAAAGGGTACTACGCCAATACATTTTTTGTCACTGAAAGTAATCAAGTTGTGATGAATTAATTTATTTAATGACAAAAATATTTGTATCAAAATTCACTCATGATCATATAATAAAAATAACTTAAATTATACTAAAGAATAATATCTCATTACAAACTCCTTAAATAAAAGTAAAATATGTCCAATGACAAAAAAATCTAACTAAAATATATCAAATATTACTCCTAAACAAAGACATATAAGTAAAAATTCCTTCCAACGTATCAATAATGTGGTGACACATAGCTTGCAATCAATCTTGCTTCAATTCTCACCTTTTATACCTGTAAAAAGAAAGAGAAAATAAAACAAAGATTTAAATTGAGATATTCATATTGGAGTCTAAAGTAAAATATGTAACACAATTTGTCTTTCATATGTTGTAATGTCCAATTTTATAAGTAATTTTTAATTTACAATATAAATTTTATCATTACAAATTTAACATAGTGAAAGTTTATGAAGTATATCATCACAAACTACTCTATATGACAACGTAAACTTCATCATTCATGAAACTACTAACTATTAAAACATAATGTAAAAACTGCAATTCAGTAAAATTATAAGTGCAAAATGAACAAAAGAACATAAAAACCCCACATAAAACCATAAAAATAATACCAAGTTCATATCTTTAACAATTGGTCTCCTAAATAAAGAAAAAATAAAAAAGAAGACTAAGTTGTGATTAGCCTTATATGGTATAGTCTCCGGTCAATTACTGAACGACAGAGTGTGAAAAATGATAATAAAACATAGCCAATAAAAATAAGATCTACATATTCTTTAAAGATCAACCAGTGATTATGTGAATATAGGGTTAAAGAATATGAAATACAAAGAAAAGACCTTTCTTGTTGATTTCTTTTCAATTTTTGTTATCACTTCGATCCCTATATATTTGTTTTAAAGTTGAACGTGGGAGATGAGAAAGGAAAGGAAGATGAAGAAGATAAAGAAGAAAAAAAGGAAGATTTTTTTCTCTTTTCTGTATCAGTGTGATTGAATCACTTGAAAAGATTTTTTTTTTGTTATGTTTCCTATTTTGATTCTTTTAATTTTTTTCCTTTTTAAAATTAATTAATTGTCTTGGAAGATTTTTTTTAAAAAAAGAACCATTGAAATAGATGACTGAAAACCAGCAATGCAAATTGTCATGGGGTCCACCTTATAAGATACTAGAAAAAATAAATAAAAACAATTACACTTTCACTATTTATTGATAATTGATACTCTAATGTTAAAGTAAAATTAAGCAAGTGTAAAACCTATAATGTAGCAATACTTTTCATTTCAAATTGATAGTCTTACTTTAAAAAAAAATATTTCTCACATTTTAGCAACCATTTAACTTTTTAAAGTCACAAAAATTAAAGATTTATCTATATATCTTATCGAAATGAGAATAAGATATACGTAATTTATGAAGCTTTAAATATGAAATAAGCGGGTCTTTTTTGGTGTTTTTCATATAAAGAAAAAATATTTTCAAAAAGTTTAAGTTAGGGCAAACTTTCTAACTCTTAGGCATATTTTGTGAAAATACAGAATCATTGAAGAATGTGTGTAACTTTCTTTTAAAACTAAAACTAGTATACGTGCCCGCGCGTTGCGCGGATTTTAAAATTAAAAAAAAAACTAATAAAATCTACTATTCACTTTCTACTGTATATTTTAAAATATAATTATACAAATCAATTAACTTATTTATTTGTGCATATTACAGTATCATTTTTATTAATACACAATTTAATATTATGTTTATAGTTATAATTAGCTACATTTATTGTTTTTAAATATATTTTGTTGAAATTTTAATAAAGATAATATTACTTTCTTTTTGTTTATTTTAGTTTGATGAAAAAAACAAAAACTTTATGCGTTTTAGATGTTTGGTCTACTATTTTTTATTATTGTTTAATTGAAATAATATTATATTCTTGTTAGTAACTTTTTAAATCTAATTTTCACATGAAATGATTAAATATTTAATTGTAGGCATGATATTCAAAATTTTAAATTGTGTCTTTCTATTTTTTTAGAACTCATATATTGATTACATGATGTTTTTTTTAAAATCATCTAATTAGAGTAATATTTTATTACTAAATAATTTTTAATTTCCAAATCAATTTCGAAAAACGCATTGAATCGAAAATGAATATAAAAAGATTAATCCTATAAGATTTAGTTGTTATTGGAAGAAAAAGTCAT